TGTGTGTGTGTGTGTGTGTGTGTGTATAAAGACTAATAATAGTATGTTATGCATCATTAGCAGCAACAGCTTTTCCAGGTTCTGCAGTCATCTGAACAAAGTTATAGACATTCAGCACATTCCATTAAAAAACAAACAAAAAAAAAAAGAATAATATCCAGACAACAGCAAAGTTCTGTTGCCGTTGTGGTACCTGGCACCATTTTTTCTATTAGCCTCTTAATCATCATCTGGAAAGAGAACATTCTAGAGTAATATCATTAAATGTAGCTCTGATAAAGCATGGTCCCTACTATGTACCATAAAGCAGGTACTAGATATTTTACATTCATAGAGGTATGATACAGTACTGTCCTACATCAATAATACTAGCAGTTTTGGTTTGAAATTTACTTTGCCTGCAAATAAGACTGCTACCCCTGTTTTTTTCTGGGCTCCCGTCACATGGAGAATTGTTTTCCATCTTTTCACTTTCAGTCTATGGGCTTCTTTTTGCACTAGGTGTGTTTCTTGTATATAACATATTATTGGATTTTGCTTCTTATTCCATTTTGCCAGTCTTTTTCTCTTGATTGGTGAGTTGAGGGCATTGACGTCGCTGGTTATAACTGATATGTACTGACTTATTATTGGCATGTTATTGGCCTTCTGTTGACTCTTTTTACTTTTTCACCTTCTTTTAATTTCTTGCCTTGCCTATTTGATTTGCTCTGTTGGGCCTCATGGTGTTGTTGCCTTCATTGTCTTTTTCTAGGATCTTGTTTAGAATTGTTTGTAGTGTTGCTTTGGTATTCATGTAGTTTCTCAGATGTTCTTTGTCGTGGAAGTATCTTATTTCCCCCTCCATTTTGAAAGAGACTTTTGCTGGATACATCAGTCTAGGTTGGAGTTGTTCTCTTTTAGTACTTGAAATATCTCATTCCAGGCTCTCCTTGCCCCAAGAGTTTGTGTTGAAAAGTCTGCTGTGATTCTGATGGGCTTTCCTTTGTATGTGAGTTGTTTCTTTTCTCTTACTGCTTGTAGTATTTTGTTCTTCTGTTGGGTTTCTGGGATCTTGATTATTATATGTCTAGGGGTAGATTTGTTTTGATTGTGGCTAGTTGGGGTCCTATATGCCTCACTTATCTGAATGTCAAATTCTTACCCTCTGTTTGGGAAGTTTCTGTCATTAATTCCGTGAACAGCTTTTTTAAGTCATTTGTATTTTCTCCTGCTACTTCATGGATTCCTATCAGTCTTTTGTTATTCTTCTTTGCATCATCTAGGAGTTGTTGGATCAATTTCTCATGATCTCTGTTTGTAAGAGATCTCTCTTTTCATGGTCACTGACTGCAATCTTATCTTCTATATCTGAGAGCCTATCTCCGCATTCTTTTATTCTGTTGCGTACACTTGCAATAGAGTGTTTAATCTCCTTGATATCTGTTTGAATCTGTTTTACGGATTCCATTTCTTTCCTATGTTGGGCTTTTATTTTTTCCATTTCGTTCTTATGTTGGGCCTTCATGGCTTCTATCATGGTCCTGAGCTCATCTATTTTTTTGTCAGTTTCTGCTCTAGAGTCTCGAATCACAACTTCCATTTTGCTCACTATCTCTATGGTTATCTGGGAAATTATTTCTGTTTTGAATTTTTCTAGAGCCTGATTGATCTGTTTTGTTACTTCCTGTGCTTTGAGTTCAGGGTGTCCTGGTTGTTCACTATCGGCCTTTTCATCCTCATTTGCCCTACTGTTTGCCATTGATGAACTGGAAGTCTGTCCTTGTGTCTTGCTTAAGTGTTTTCTCATTTTAATTTTTGTTGTCGGACTGTCCTTGGTTTAATCTCTGGATTATCACCCAAATCTTCCTGATATAGTTGCACGCTAGCTTCTGTGTCTCTAACAACCCACAGACATTCTCATCTTCATAACATCAGAGAAAACAGCTCATCAAATCAACGGCAATGCTTTACCCCAACTGATACAATCAGCAACACATTAAGATTAAGCACAACTTGGACACTGACCACCTGTGGTAGTCACCAGTCTATCACCCTTAAATCATGTGAATTCAATTGAAATCAAGAAGCAGTCCAGAACATGTCTGCAGGAACAAACTTTTCAATATAGTATATTTACCACTTAATGGCTCAGACAGAGTGAGGATGCAAGACCCCTGATCTCAGTTAGCTGATTGCTGAACCCCATGATGCTGACTGACCTCAGGCTGCAAGGCCCAGATTGAGTTCCCCATCCTTCTGAATGGTTGAACTCTGCAACGTTCTATTACAGGTTTCCCACGCCCTTTCTTTAAAGATGTTCAAAGTTGGGAACTCAGAAAAATACCCTTGATGACCACCTCTATCTTTGCAGAGTGGGTCCAAAGACTTACACAGTCAGGAGGTCTGAGAGTGCGGGGAGGGGGGATTATGGAGGTTCAGGGGTGTGCTACCTTCCCGGCGCTTGAGCGATGGCTGCTGGGTTGGGAGCAGGCATGGTTCTCCTCCCGATTTGTTTTTAATCAGCAGCTACTTAAGGTTAAAACATAAAAGCTCAGACTTGAGCTTCACATATGTGAGGTACCTCAAGCACCCACAAACTTTCTGCAAAGGGCCTGTGTGGGAGTAACAGTCTCTATTGCAACTACTCGATTCTGCCTTTGTTGGGAAAGCAGCCATTGTTGCTGTGTTGAATAATGAGTGTGGCTTGCTTTCAATTAATTAAGCTTTATTTGTGGACATTTCATGTGCCTTCATGTCACAAAATATTTTTTAATTTGGCTTCCAACCATTTAAAAAATCTTAGTACCATTATTAGCAGGACAAACAGAGGCAGGATTGGGCTGGAGGGCTGCAGTGTGAGACCCCGGGTGACAGGGCTCACAGCAGCAGGAACCACAGGCATTCCTGGGGAAGAAGACTGTTGAATCTCTGGTGGCTGGACCCTGAGGAACAGCAGGGAGACTGGAGGAACCAATGCTCCTTTCTCACATGTCTTTCTGCAGCTTCTTCCAAAACCTCCACTTAGTGCACTTACACTGCTACCTCCAGAAAGCAGGCACTGCTTTTTTTTTTTTTTTTTTTTTTTTTGACATAGATTGCTTTCTAAGTCATTCTTGTAAGTTTTTTCTGTTATCATGAAAGAAAGATGACTAACATAGCTGTTGACATGGTTCCCAGAGCCCTAGAAAACTCTTCATTGGAAATTTTGTCTGTTTTTTAATATTTGCTAAAATACAAGTCATATTTGTGTCTTCATTAGGTCTCTTTGACAGAAAACAGAACACAGAGATGGTCTTCTCTGGTCACAGAGTTGTTCCAGGACTCTGAGAGTGGGAACATTGGGTGAGTTGATCCAGAAGAGAAAATCACCAGTGGCTTCTGAGTGTTCAGACCTTCGCCCCTTGAGAGCTTAGTGTGTGGGCCCAGGATGAGTAAACTGTCCTCAGACTGGTTGTGAGAGAGCACCTCAGGGCCCACCTGAGATTAAGTAGAGGCCTACAACAACCCTACCACTCAAAAGCAGCAAAAATAAATAGGCCAACGGTGAATAGGTGGGAGGGGGAAAGGAGAGAAAAGAATCAAGAGACTAGGAAGATTTGAAAAGCTAAGAAATCCTGGGAGTGGTGGGGAAAAACAGCAGAGGCTTAGAAGTGGGAACAGGGAGGAAGAAAGAGAGAAGGGCCAAGGGGCATCCACAAGCTACCCAAAGACGACCGAGCCCACCTGGATGGCTTTGGAGGAGGAAGCCAGGAAGGGAGGCAGAGGGGTGACATTGGCTCCTCTGAAAATCACTCACAGAGCCATTTAGAACCCTACTCCATACTCAGCCACCAGACACTTGGATTTTAGCTTCATCTAGTGTGAGACAGACATGCATGTCAAGACTCAGTTGAGGCTCTTCCCTCTTCACCCACCTCCCACAGAATCTGAGAAAATTCCCTCATCTGGAGTTGGACAGAAGGTCAAGGTCAAGTTGTGTGGGTGTAGGGGGTAATGGCAGGCAGTAACCTCTGCTTCCCTTCCCACTCCAGACCAAGACAGGAGGCAAGGCTAGAATCTTCTCAGCAAGTTCACAAATCCAAAGTGAAGTGTGGGCAAGGGCTCCTGGGGAAACCTGGGCACAAGTAGCCCAGAAGTGTCCAAGCAGGAGAAGGACTAGAAGCAGATAGCAGGGCAGCCATGAGATCTTCGGTATCACTTTACAGAGGAAGGGGCTCTTTCTACCCCTGGACTAGGGAGCAGAACAAAGGGATAGAAGGATCCCAAGGGTCTTATTCCCCATTGTCCTGCCTTGGGCCTCCCTCATTCCCTGATTTATCAGCAGTCACTGTTCTGTAAACCAGGAGTGATGAATCCTGGGAGGGGCTACAGTCACTTGAGACCTGATGAGGAGGGAGAGAACTTTGGGAGAACAGTCACGCCTTCATGTGCCCACAGTAAGAACACAGCAAAGGAGAGTGGGAAGTGTCCAAACAGAGACAGGTGGGGCTACAAGCACATATACATGACCAGCAACAAAACCATGGCTGGACAAATACAGGATCCCAGAGGACACTACTAAGTGGCCAGCCCTGGCTCATGAGTGCCGCCCCATGTTTAACACCCTACAAATTCATCTCAAGGAAAACCGGTCCCAACTGTGACTGAATTACAAAGCCAAAGGAACTTAGAAATCACCAAGTTGGGTGGACATTATTTTGAAATAATTAATTTTAGCTATAAGTTATAATTTTAGTTACAAGAAGGTAAAGTGATGTTTTTGTACACTTGATTTTTGTGGCTATGAAGTTCATGTGTGTGCAACCTTCTAAGTACTAACTTCTTAAACTCTCCTAGAAAAAAATTCCACCAGCTTTCTTGGCTGGATTCTTGGTTCATAACATCTAGGGCCCTTCATTCATTCCCTCATCCAACTTGATGTCACCAGGCTCTTCCCACACTGGGGTCACGGTAGGAGCTGAGTGACAGCCATACAGCTCCCAGGACCACAGCAAATGAATCATATGATCAGTACTTTGCCCAAAGGTTCACTATTACAAGATCTATGCCTAGCTGGAGCAAAACAAAGCAAAAGTCCTTGAGATGTAGCAGCAAAGTTGCTGAGCATAGCCCATTCCCAGTCCCTGCTCAGCCCCTGCTGAGAGCAGGCCTTTTGAAGGGGTATTCAGTAAGCATTCCTGGGCACTGAGCCAGTGTGAAGGTTCAGTGGCTGTACAAAAGCCACTTCCGGGTCTGATGCCTTTCTACTCCCAGCACAAGAGCAGCAAGAGCTGGGAAATGACCTGCAGATGGGGCAGTCTGCAGATGTTGCCCAGTCTGCAGCCCACTCCCTGTGTACTACCAAGACCTTCTCTCATTCCTTGGTTTTTAGCAGCTAACGTGCTACAAACCAGTGGTAAAGAGTCCTTGGTGGGGTGTTGCTGCAGGCTCAAGAATTACTGAAGACAATGAGGAGCCTTGGGAAAGACCACTGTACTTTCCTGCCACCTCTGTTGATGAGACTAAGATTTCAGGGCTACTTGGGAGGAGGGGGCAAAGTGAAGATTCTCACCAGAGTGCCAAGTACCAACCAAAGAACTGTCAGTAAGCATTCCTGGAGGCACAGTCCCTCCTGGAACTCTGAGGGTGCCCCCAGCAAAAGTTGCAACCATCACTGCATTCGTGAAGAAGGCCAGCTATGTCAGGGGAAGTGTGAGTTCAGAACCTAGATCCTTCCTTCAGAGTCAATGTGTTAGGAAACCTCAGAGAGAGCTTATTATCTGAACAAAAGAAAAGAATGGTTTTCCCCCTACAAAGCACTCAGGCTTGTAGTGTCCCTTCTTCTTTCCAGCACATGTTTGCATCTGTGACAGCCAGGCTCAACAAGCACTCCAGGCAAGGAAGATGTTCTCTAACTCAGGCAGAATGGGGAAGGAGATGAAGAAGCACCTCTTGCTAAGTCAAGGCATTTTTTTCCAGTTAAGAGCCATCCAACTGAAATTCCCAAGGTCTACACCGTAGAGGCATTCAGACTTCTCTCTTGGTAGGATCTGGAAGTTTTTCAAACAGAAGAAATTCTCTGGTTGTCACTGAATTTTTCAAATATGGATTTTGTGCTCTGTCTCCACAGATATGATCTGTTCCTAAACTATGACCAGGAGAGGAAAGTTCTTCTTTGGCTTCTGAGCAGGTCTCTTCTGCCATTCCTGAATATAGGTGTTGAGATTTTCTGGAAGGAATCTCAGTTAAAGCCAAGGGCTCCTTAAGGCTCTTCACTGGGGCACAGTCAGATCTGTAGGGAGAAGTCACGTATTCATTCTTTTCCACTCCCAAAATGTTTTCCTGACTTTTTCCAGCAACCTCTATGGAAGCCTCTTCCAGAAAATTCCCAAAGTTCACCACCAACTTGTCAATGAGGTCAGTAGGAGCAGAACATGATTTTAGGGTCCTGTCTTCTGTGTTCATGGAGTCATCAAACTCCTTCAGATTTACTTTACTCTAGAAAAAGAAAATGAGGACAGCCCAATGGTCATTTATTTTTATATTTGTTTTTTTGTTTTTGTTTCTTTGAGACAGAGTCTTGCTATATAGTTCAGACTGACCTTGAATCCTAGCACCTAAGAGGCAGAGGCAGGAGGGAAACCATGAGTTCAAGGCCAGGCTGGGAAACAGTCACTTTGGGAGCAGACAACTATGCAAGACCCCGTCTCAAGACAAAGACACAACAATAACAACAAAAAAAAAAGAAAGAAAGAAAGAGTGATGGCAAGGGGGCAGAGACAGACAGAGACCACGACCACAATGGCAAAACTTCCCAGTACCACCAGGAATCAAAGCTGATCCCATGGCAGAGGCAGTGTCTGCCATCTTTGTATCCTCAGGCTTAGCTCATCCTAGTGGATGACTATTCAGTGCTTGTTGTAGAAGGCTGACCTACAAGTTATTCAAAAGCATTTTATTCATGAGATAATATCACCCATGAGTTCATTTACTCTCTAAATAGCTTTTACTAAGTAGAAAAGCAAAGAGGGTAATACAAAACTGATGAAGGAAAGGAAATAAAGTCCACTGTAACAAAAATGCCCATTTAAAAAAAACAGGACTTCTGAATTGAAATAAGGACTAATATTTAAAATTCTCACATAAAAAAACTGGAAAAATCTTTCAATAATAAGAATTTTAGAGTTATACAATATTTAACTGGGCTTATTTATACTTAAGCAAGAATTATACCTTCAAAATTCCACAACAGTTTTGAATTTACAAACATGAAAAAGGAGGGTTTCTACTTAAAGATAACACACCAGAAAACTCCAGTGCCAAGTACATGAGGTTTGACCCCAACTTCCTCAATTAGGAAACAATTCAAAGCAGCCTTTGCACTGCCTGCCCATCGGCAACACTTCAGGATCCTAGGTGGTCTCTAAATTAATTTGCTTTTGCTGCTTTTTAAATGGCCTCAAATCTTACAGCCAGGCCTCCTTGCTCTCTGACAGATGGTCAGGTTAATAATGGTAGGGCTGACGTCTCCTTTCCACAGCGTCCTTTACACAACCAGTTCCATGCTGGGAACACTCGAGCCTTCCTCAGCCTGGTGAAGCTCTTTCCTATCATTCAAAGCATAAGGTCAAAGTTACTCCAGGAAGGCTGATTACATCTGCCCTGCCAGTTGTTCCTTAGGACTTTTCAACCTTTAGGGTTTTGTTTTGTTTTTTTCCCCATGTAAATCTTGAGAAAAGCTCAGTCCACAACTCTTTTTCATTTCCATCTACCTGGTCCATTTCCCACAACCAGTCAACATAATGATTTCCTGAATAAAAATAGCAGTGTTTACCTTGAAATCAGCTCCAAGCCATGTGGCTATACTACTTTCAGCAGGGTTGGGGACATCAGGCCAACACAGTTGAATCAACTTGCTGATAAGAGATAAAATTTTAAGACAGGAGGTGAGTCTGGGAAGCATTTTACATTACACATGGCTGAACCAAATCACTAAGGTCTGCTAAAAGGAACTATATGGCTCCCTGTAAAATAAGGGCAAGCTCCCATCCTCCTGTTAGACACAGGAAAAGTGAAGTAGTAGGGGTAAAATTTAGAGTTATCTAAGGGATGTGATGGAAGGAAAGCCCTCTCCAAGCATAGCTGTTCCTACTTCTTCTTTCTCCACAGCTGCATCTCCATACCTAATTGTGATTCTAGACACTACACTATCACTCACAGTGCCATTCCTTTGAGATTTAGCCTATGGAAGAGGAACACTTAACCCTACCAGCTACCCACACCTTGGTTCCCAGTCTGCAGCCCTAGCATCACTGAGAGTATTTATAGAAATGCAAATTTGGGCTGGGATTTAGCACAGTGGTTCCACAGCCTGCCTCACAAGTGCAAGGTCCCAAGTTCTATCCCCTATCCCTTATCCTAGGTACAAAAAAAAAAGAAAAAAGAAAAAAAGAAATACAAATTCTTGGGTGTCACCCCAGAACATTGAATCAGAAACTCTCGGGCTTGGGCCTAATTCTGCTGCATCCTAAAGATTAAGAATGATTACTGAAGTGTATATTGTATGTTTTAGTTACTTTTCTCATTGCTGAGACCAAATACACAACACACAAATTAAGGGAGCAAAGGTTTTTTAACCTTCAGGTTGTAGAAGTTTCAGTTCATAATTGGCTGGTTCCAAGGCAGAGGGTCATCGCAGAGGAGAACCAGCAAGCAGAAGACAACAAAAACAAGAAAGAGGACAAGCCTTGCTGTCCCTTATATTGTATCCAGGCTACTGGGACTAGGGCAGTAACAAACTAGTGTACTGATTACTAATCATTAACCCTTAGTCTCAGCATCACACACTATAGATTCAGCCACCTCTGAGAAAGTCCCAGCCTATGACCACGTGAGGTTTTGAGGAGACATCTAGACCCAAACCATAACATTCTGCCCTGAACCCCCAAAGACTGCTGAACATTCCTTTACACAAAAGGTATTTAGTCCATCTCTAACAGTTTCCAAAATCTTAAGTTTTAGCATTGCTAAAAAGTCCCAAGTCTCTACTGAGATTTAAGGTAAACTCTTAGCTGTGAGCCCCTGTATAAATGAAAAGAAAGTTAAACACTTCTAACATACAATGGCACAAGATAAACATTGCCATTCCTAAAGGTACAAATAGGGTGACACAAAGGAATGGGACCAAAGCAAATCCAAAATCTAGCAGGGCAAATATTAAGTCCTGTAGTTCCATGTCTAGCAGCTGAGCAATCTGTGGCAAGATATGAACTCCAAAGGGCTTGGGGGGCTCCACCTCTATGGCACTGCTGGGGGTTACAGCTCCCGTGGCATCTCTCTAGGGCTGATTCTGCTCCCTCCTTGCAGTTTTTCTCATTCAATCCACATTCCTGGCTTCTCCAAACCTCTGGGGTCTCCACTGCACCTTCAGCTTCACATACTACCCTCTCAAGGGCACACCAACTGGCCTCCAGGTATTCTTCTAAAATCTGGGTGGAAGCCTTCCTGATTCCACAATTTTGCATTCTGCATACACCTAAAACCAGCACTATATGGATGATGCCATGGTCTACTGCCAGCTGGTACAGAGGCCAGGCTTCCTTCTCTCTTAACTGTAGGAACATCTTCCCTCGGCTGCTTCCATGCTGGAACATGGTGCTCTGGGGTTCTCATCTCATAGTAAAGTCTCTCACCTTTGCAACTCTAAGGCTGCAGAGGTTGGAGTCCTGTTGATTCTTGTGATGTCCTCAGGCCATCTTTTCTGCTGACTTCCTCTGAAATACTTGGCTTCTTTTGCTAATCTTTTCAGCTACCAGTTTCTTTTCTGTTCCATCTTTGCAGACCACAACTTTACTAGTGCTTCCTTTCTGGCCAAACTCAACACATTTTAAATCATTCTGCTGGGCTCTTTGCTCTTGATTCCCAACATAAATCAGACTAAAAGCCCCCTTGATTCCCAACATAAATCAGACTAAAAGCTCCCAACAGTAGCCATGCCACCACAACATTACACTGCCTTGAAATTTCTTCTGCCAGATTAGCCCACCACCATTAATTTTTTTTGGTCGTTTTTTTGTTTTTTGGGTTTTGTTTGTTTGTTTGGTACCAGGGGTTGAATTCTGGTCCTTGTGCTTGTGAGGCAGGCAGTAGAACCACTGAGCTAAATCCATGGCCTCCACCATTAATCTTAATCTGCCTTTAATCAGTCTCAGGCAAAGTCTCTGGACATGAGAAAACTGCAGATAAAATTTTTGCCAAGGCATACCACATAATCTGGAGTCCAATGGCCAGTGCAGTCCCTCTTCCCAACAGAAACCTCCTTTACCTGGTCTTTACCAGCAGGATTTCTATCAGCCTTTTGGTATTCTAAACTGTGACCAGAATCTCCTATTAAGTATCACCTAAGGTGTTCCAGCTTTACTTTTTCAGCCAGAATCTCTGAACCTCTCCAAACTCTCCACAATCCATTCCCAAAGGCCCCTGAACCACATGGTTAGGTATAGTCATAGCAGTAACTCCACTTCTCTGGTACCAAATTCTGCCTTAGCTACTTTTCTCATTGCTAAGACAAAATACCTGATGCCCAAAGTTAAGGAAGAAAAGCTTTATTTAGCTCACAGTTTGTAGAGGTTTCAGTCCATAACCAGCTGGCACTAAGGCAGAGTGGCATGGCAAAGGAGAAACAGTTCATGGTGGCCAGAAGGTAGCAAAGCAATGCGGGATGACTAGGGCTCTTTTTATCCCTTATATGTTATCCAGACTACTTAGGGCAAGTAGCACTCACACCCTTAATCTTGTGCTCTTGATCCTAGCATTGTACCATGAATCAATCCTACAGTCTAGATCCAAACACCTCTAAAAAAACCCCACTTATGACCACTTGAGGCTTTGGGAGGTATATCTAGATCCAAACAATATTAATGTACAAAAATGTATTCTGGTGACTTGGTCACAATGTATAAAGTTGCTAACTGAGGTTGACATCAGCTTGAAAATAACCAAGTGCAGGTGCTTGGCAGAGAAGGCCCACAACTGTCCAAGGTGGTGAGAGAGCTCCACAGGGGACAGACTGCTAGGGCAGTTTGAGTCTCACTGCCAGGAGAAACAGAAAACCTTGAAGACAAGCTTCCTTCCCAACACCGGCCAAGAGAGGCAGGACAAATGTTCCTCCAGCCAGGCCTCCAACACTGCACCACAAGCAAGGAGCAGTTTATGGTTTCATGCAATTGCCACTCTACTTCCAGGGGTACATGGCTCCCTATTCTGTCTCTTGCTGCTGTCAGGGGGTCTTTAGTGTCTACATTAAAAAAAGGGCCTCTCTCCAATGCTAGTCTCAGATGGCAAGTGCAACACATAAAGCTAGGACAGCTGATGCTGCTTGGCCTCAAAAAGTAGAGAGCTGGGTGGGGTGAAAGCCCTCTCCATGGGTCTGAATTCTGATGAACCACAGAACATAGACTTTATTTTTTAAATTTTATTGGTACATTTTTATATACATAATGATCACATTTATCACAGGGAATTTGGACCTGTACATAGTATATCTTGATTCTTTTTCCCCCTCTGCTCCCCTCTCTTTAACTCTTCCTCCCCTTATTTATAAAAGTTTTGTTTCCATCTTCTTCCTTCTACTCTTTTTTATATTTTCCATACCTTTCCTTTCTCCTACCCCCTCCCTTGTTCCCCTTCCCATTTGAACATTTGCTTCCTACTTCCCAATATTGGTTATTTTGGTCCTCAATTTACCCTTTCAGTTTCTTACACAAGAGAAACAATGAAATATTTAAATGTGTGTGTCCAATTTATTTCACTAAAAAGTATGGTCTCAGGGTGCATTTATTTACCTAGAAATTTATTTTCCTCATTTATCCTTCTTTATGTCAGAGTAGTACTCTATTGTATATAATAACCATATCTTCTTTATCCATTCATCCATTGATGGGCATTTAGGCTGTTTCCAAGATTTAGCTATTACAAACTGTGCTGCTATTAACATGGTGTGCATATATTCCACAAAAGCTGTGCTTTTAACTCTTTCGGGAAGATACCAAGGAGGGGAATAGCTGGGTCAAATGGAACCTCTAGTTTTAGTTTTGTAAGGAATCTCCATACCAATTTCCATATTGGTTGTACCAATTCATACTGTCACCAACAATGGAAAAGGGTTCATTATTGGTTGATTTCTTGATAATAGCTATTCTTTCTAGAGTGCGATGGAATCTCAGGGTTATTTTAATTTGCATCTCTTGGGTGACCAGTGATGCTGAACATTTTTACATTTATTGATTTGCATAAGAACGTGGTCTTTAATAATCTCAAAAAATCTGTACCAAATTAATAAAGGAATAAATATGCTCTTCATGGTAGAATGCTTCTTGTGCCAAATGTCCATGAGGACCTCCATCCCCCTTTGCCCATAATTTTTAAGGCACCTCCTACTGTTGATTATAAACTTACCTTGGTTTATGGTAACCAGAGATCATCACAAAGATGATGAGCATAAGCAGACCTCCTCCAACCAGGCAAGTTATAAGGACAATATCAAAGACATCTTTGGGAAAAGGAGAACAAAAGTCAGCATATGTTTAGTTCCTCCCTTTCTTTTTTTTTTTTTTTTTTTTTTTTTAGTTCCTCCCTCTCTTAACAAAAATCAAACATTAACTTTTTTTCTAGTAGCTTCAGCAACATTTCTTACTAGTTTTTAAAAAATTAATTCAATTTCTTTCAATTGAAATAAATTCTAGGATTTGTGGCTCCCCATTTAGTTGTCTTCCTGTCTAACAAGATAGGTATTTTATATTGATAGATATTTTTTCCTCCAGGGCCATTTTCCAATATTACACTTTCAGTGAATACTTACTGAGTACTTATTAGTTGCCAAACACTATTCTTTTTGGTTTGTCTGTTTGTTTTAGTGCCAGGGATTGAACTCAGGACCTTGGGCCTGCAAGGCAGGCAGTAGAACCACTGAACTAAATCCCCGGTGCCAAACACTATTCTTAATAATATTATAAATAGCAATAGGCAAGAAATATAAGGTCCTTATTCACATGGAGCTTATGTTCTGGCAGATTCAGACAATAAATAACATAAGATTATTTTGGAACAGACCAATAAAAGAGTAACCAGGGTAAGGTAGGAAGGAAGTCAGCAACTTTAGATAGGCTGGCCAAGGAAGAAGTGAAATTTTAGCTGATCTTGAACCCCTGTCCTGTAATTCCAGCTCTGTCCTGAGGCAGGAGGATTATCACAACTCTGAGCCTGCCTGGACTATGTAGGGATATCTTGTCTCAACTACCACCCCCAAAATAAATAAGGTGAAGAGGAAAAGGAGGAAGGTGAGAGAAGGGAGTAAGGAGAGAGGGAGGATGAGAAAAAGGGAGGAGGAAAGGAGGAGAAAAGGAAGAGAGGAAGAGGAGAGGAAAAGGGAGAGGAAGACAGGAAGAAGAAGAAATCTGAACTTATCTTAATAACAAGAAGGAGGCTCCCATGCAGAATTACAGAGAAAAAGCATTCTAGGAAGGTACAAAGCTTTGAAGCAGGAATATGTCAGAGAACAAAAAGGCAGATGGTGATAGGAAATGAGGTTAGTAAGGTACAGATGATGAATGCAGAAAGCATGGTGGGATTTTATTTAAAATACTAGGGTTTTAAGCAGAAAATCTAGGGCCTAAAGTTGTGGCTACAGTGAAGAGAATAGATTGCAGAGAATCACAAATGGAAGTGAGGTGCTCTACAATCCATAGATTTCTGTAGATCTATAATCCATGAACTTCTAGACTCCAAGGTGGGATTTGCCTTCAATGTGATCCACAGAGAAAATCCCCTAAGCTGAAACAATTTGTTCCTACTGTTGTGAAAATACAACATGATTTTTCAAAGGATTTTAAACAGCAACAACAAAAAGAGTTAAGAAGGCATTATCATCTCCAAACACCGAATATGTTTTCTATGTAATGACATGATTTACTCGTATTTTTCGGAGCCATAAGCTATTTCATTCCTTAAGAATGTAAAGAATAAAAAGCTTTCAAAAGTTTAAGGAATTTTTAGCCTGTACTAGTAACTGCAAAATTGGGCAAATTCCTTCATTTATAATTGAAAAGTTTGCTTGTTCTTTAAAAGAGTTTTAATATGTCTTTAAAAAAATCAAATCTATGCCATTCAAGGACTTGGCAAAATTATGTTTCCCTGGTTCTCCTATCCTCCTTCTTTCTTCTTCATTTCCCTCCTCATACTATCTCTTCTCCTTCCTCTTGAACATCTACCTTAACCAGTCATCATTCAAAGCTATTATATCTTACTTTTTGTTGTTGTTGTTGTTACCGGGGATTGAACTCGGGACATCATGCTTGTGAGGCAGGTGGCAGCACCACTGAGCTAAATCCCCAGGCTTATCTTACATTATTTGTTGTATGTATCTATTATATTCTGCTTGCTCACTATTTTTAAAGTAAAAACTGGTGAGTTAACCATGTTATGTGACTTTTTCTCAAGAAATTCCACAGATTAATGACCAGACTTAATCAAGTTCCTTCTGTAGGGCAGCAGTCTTTCATCAACCAAGGTTTTCCCCCCAAAACTTTATTGTGTAGTAACATTCAGAAACTGGTGACTGTGAACTTGGGGACAGCCATGCCATGGGAGCTGGTTTAGTGCTGCAGTTGAAGTTGATGTTAATTAAACTGACCCCTCTTCCTAAAGGTGATTTGGGGCTGCCCATGGGGAAGAGCAAAATGATCAGTCTTTATAAATTCAATTTTCATTGCCTGATCCCCTCTCCCTACTCCCTACAGGGACCTTCCCAGAAGGTGAGTGAGCCCCAAAGCAGGATGCCTTTTCTCACCTAAATGCTCCCCTCTCCTTTGGCATTCCCTACCTTTGGATAATGTGATTTTTGACTGAATTAAGGTAAGGGCCAAGAAGAGCTACACCGCACTTAAAAGAAATACTCACCGATCGACAATGTCTTGAAGTTTATTGTGTCCCCCTTTATTCCCCCAGCTCTGGTGCTGGCCATGACCTGAACACTGTAAGAAGTCTTTCGTGTCAGAGACTCCAGGCCATAATGTAGGGTGCTGGAGTTGACTGTCTCAGCTAAACGAAAAATACAGAAGTCAAACACCGCAGCCAAGTCAGACTGAAAACTACACTTTAGTAGCACCAAAATGAAAGTGCTGAAATCTGTACTTCCAACTGACACCTTTTTCTTCAAGACCCATCCATGAACTGATTAAAATTATCATGTCAAGGTGAATCAAAGACCTAAATATAAGAGATAAAACTACAAAAACTTTTAGAAGTCAATATAAGGTAAAACTCCATGACCTTACATTTCATAAATTTGGTACCAAAAGCATAAGCAACAAAAGAAAACATAGATAACCTGAACTTTATTAGAATTAAAAGCTTTTGTTCATCAAAAGATAGTATCAAGAAAGTGAAGGCAAGTCACAAAATTGGAGAAAATATTTGCAAATCATACATTTGATAAGTTTATGTCCACAATATAAAGAAGTCATAATTCAACCAAAAAAACCTAATTTTAAAATGGGCAAAGAAGTGGGGCATGGTGGCTCACACCTGTAATCCCAGTACTCGGGAGGCTGAGGCAGGAGGATCACTGTGAGTTCAAGACCAGCCTGGGCTACATAGTTCCAGGTCAGTCTCAACTACATAGTGAGACCCTGTCTCAAAAACACAAAATAAAATGGGCAAAGAGATTAAAAAGACATTCCTCTAAAGAAGATATACAAATAGCCAAAAATCATATGAACAGATGTTCAACATTATTAGTGGTTAGGGAAATGTAAATCAGTGAGATGCCACCTTGTGTCCATTAGGATAACAAATTACAGGGTTTTTTGGGGGTTTTTTGTTTTTTTTTTAGATAGGAAATAAGTCCTGGAAAAGATGTAGACAAAGGGACCCTTCTTATATTGAGCTGAAAATTGGGCAATCATTATGGAAAACAGCTTGGTGGTTTCTCAGGAAGTTAAAGTAGAAATACTAAAATGTTCCAGCACTTCCACTTCTAGGTAAAAACTGCCAAAGAACTGAAATCAGGGATTCAGATATTTGTACTTCAATGATCATAGAAGCAATATTCATAGGAGCCATAACATTGAAGAACAATTCAAAGTTTTGTCAAATGATGAATTAATGAACAACATATGGAAAAAGCATACATGGACTATTCAGCCATAAAAAGGAATTAAGTACTAAATATTATAATATCGATGAATTTCAAAGGCCACATATGATTTTATTTATTTATTTATTTATGCTTATTTATCTATTTATGTTTGTTTATTTTTCATTTCCAAGGAATGAACCCAGGACCTCACAATGGTAGGCAAATACTCCAACACTGAGCTAGCCCCACTCCTGATCATCTTTACATAAAATATTCTGAGTAGGCAATCCACAGGGACACAGCAGTTTGGTGGCTGTGAGCGGCTGTGGGAAGAGGAGAATGTAGAGTGACTGAATAAAATAAACATTATAGAGCCTCTATTTAGGGTGGGAATAGAAAAGTTCAAGAAAGCGGACAAGGTTATGCACCATTGTGAATATTCTTAGTGCTGCTCAATTATACACTTTCAAAAATCTTAAATAGTAAATTTTATGTAATGCATGTTTTACTACAAGAATGACAAAATTTAATCTAAACATGAAACCAAGCATTGCTCAGAATTTAGGATGAGCTCGGGGAAAAAGGATGTCCTTGAAGCAGACAGTAGAAATCATGGTAAAGAGCCCTGCACTAAGGTAAATGTCATCAAACAGGGTCTTCCTCCACCCTAACCCCAGGCGTACTTTAAATCAGGTGTACTTCTCTCAGGAATAACGGTGGACAGTTCCTAGGGAGTCAACTCATTCAGGTCCTGACCAGGACAAATTATACCAGTTTCTCCCATTTCTTCAAGGTTCTTGTTCACCTAATACCCCCAAATCCAAGAGATGGTGCTGTTGAATGAATATTCACAGGGGCTCAAAGAAGCTAGTAACTTACCCAAGTTTGCAGGTCGCCACCATGGGAACCACCCCATGACAAATCTATTTATGTCATCTATCTGAGGGGTTGGATTTTTTTTTCAACTTGGCTATGAGCACACTTACAGAATTCTTTTCCACCTTCAGCTTGGTAAAATATGGTGTAGTTACTAATAAAACCATTTCTCAGTTCCTTTGGAATCTCTTTCCATGAGATGGTGACTGTCTTCACACCAATGTTTTCTACCTTCGTTTCAGGACCTATGCATGGGACTTTGAGAGGACAGGGAGACAAATGAACACTGAATCACAGCCCAGCAAATGCTTCTTCACAAAGACTCTGCCAGTTCTCAGACAAAAACTAAACTGGGCAGGTGAGATATGGGATTTAGTAGGGAAATTATTAATTTGTTAGAAGAGATATTTTTCTGCACTCAGGCATCATAAGAAACAAGTAGCATCAAAGGCTAGAGACAAAATACTTTCTTCCAGATCTCTCACTTCAGTCTGGCACCCAGATCTTTCAAACATATATGTAAAGGGTAGCTATTGTCAAATAGTTGCATAGTAGGAGATATTTTTCAGTGTTAAATATGGAAGATGTTAACTTCCAAATAGATAAAAATAAAGTCTGGTCAATTCATCAGAAAAGCCTTGCTTATTGTTACATAATTTAAAATAATTTTTAACATGTTCAACTTATGATGAACTCTGTAAAAGCCCTGGGTTGGTCCTAATTGTTATTTTTGGTTGCAGTTTTATTTACATTAAATCCCTTTGGGGCTTTGGGCTAGTTATTTTATCTTTCTCAGCCTCAACTTTCCATCTATGTAATGAGAGGATTTGATATGAAATTTAATGTCCATCTTAGCTTTGAAATTCAACGACTCTATAACCTGACCCAACTGTCGAACAAACAGAACTCGCTACAAGATGTTTGCTTCGTTACAAGACAAAGGTGCAGGACGAAGGGGGCCTAAAGCAATTATGAATGAACAACATTTATCTAAATGTTGGCAAGGGCCCAGTGCTTGTTTTCCCCCAAAGGGCCTTGTTCATACATACTCTTTTCTTTGCTATACGCCTGGATGGAATATGGTTCTCCTACTTTATCTTGTAACACTGGATACACAGAGATGTTATAGCACAAAAAAGGTTTTAATTTATCTGTAAAAAAAAAAACAGAAAAATAAGCATAAGTGCAGAGCATGTCAGAGTGGAAGAAATGCTGGGCCCCAAGTTACTGTCTAAGACTTGTGAATATATTCCACTTTTCTAGTTTCCTCATCTGGAAAATAAAAAGGTGGGGTTGGATGGTCTTAAGTGACTATTCTTATTCTAAGATTTTTCTAATTAATTCTTAGAACTAAAGTCTGTGGCACTTCAATAAAAGTACAAAGCCATTCTAACGGAATAAACTCATCCAAGTTTGTAAATAAAAAAAAAAAGAAAAATTACAGAGCTATCCATGAAGAGATCAGTAGGAGATTCAATCCCTTCTCCATCACTTGATTTTTTTTTTTTTCCATTTGTACAGGGGATCGAACTTGGGTCCTTGCGAGGCAGGCAGTGGAACCACTGAGCTAAATCCCCAACCCATCACTGTATTTATCATATGACTTTGGGGAACTGCAGGATAAAACATGAAATCCATCTGGCAGCAGCAGGTTACCCCAGAGAACTCAGATATCACAAAGTATAGCTCTGCTACCTGCCTGCATCACTGTACAAGTATATTTCTTAATATGGATGCCATTACATTCCCTGTGTGAGTCAACTGGGAAAGAGGCTCAGTTCTTAAACAGCCATCCAGAATGGAAGGGTGTATCCTCAGCAGGACTGATAGTCTATACTCTGCTGTTATTACTAGGATAATCAAGATATCCTAGAAGGGCTCTCTGATGGTGGGTGAGAAGATGGTGTTTTCTACCTGGCCTGAAACCCACAGCTTTCTGTACCAGGTTTTCCTGGGAAATCCCAAGAAGCATGAACTTCACTGAGCTTACACAATCTTGTCAAGTACTAGTAACCACATTTACAGCTTTGAAAATAAAGTTAAGGATTTTTTAAACTAGCTAAAATGAAACCAAATCTTTCACAAGGGGAATATGCAATTCCATGCTAGCTACCTTGATGGACTGTCCAGTTCTTGGCCTGAGACACAGATTCCCAGGAAAAGGCAGAGAGCTCTGAGTCCAAATCTGGGAACCATTCAACCATCCATGTGTCTACCACCGTACAGGAACATTGCCATTCCACCACCAGCTGGTCTTGAACAAGGCAGACCTGCATAGCCTCGATACACTGAAATGCTGAAAGGAAAAAACAGGACTGCTTCACAGCTACCCAACTCACCCCAAATGAACCAACCACACTGGCACTCATTCAGTACCAGAGTTGTGAAAGAAAAGTCTGAACTCAGGATCTCCCCGGACAGTGCTGTTTATTATATCCTCTTCTATTATGTTATATACAGCGCTCTTACTATATCCTCTTTTTTGTTGTTGTTTTGTTTTGTTACTCAATCTTACTCAATAGTTTTGATGATTAAGTGCCTTTTTTTTTTTTCAGTGCTAGGGATCAAACCTAAGGCTTTGCACATGCTAAGGATGACTTTACCACTTAGTTTGACCCGCAGCCCTAAAATAATCTGCCTTTATTTCCTCAAAATTGATCTGTTTCCAGAAACTGATTTCTCTTAAGAACTACTGACTCAAAAGCTACACCTTCCATATCCATAGATGTTACTGCAATTAAAAGAAAAGTAAACCTGAGAGGGAAAAGGAATCTCCCAACATGTATGTATATAGTATTTAGGAGTCTTGCCCTTGTAAGGCACAATTTATGGGTCTGTTTCCCAAACTGAGCCTGTATGAGACACTCTCAAGGTTAGTCCTAAAAGCAAAACCAGGTAGTTTGTCAACCTCCGAAGGCAGTTCTGAGACAGGGCCACTGAGGCACGAAGAATACATGAAGCTTCATGCAACAGGCGGGCAAGGAGCACAGAGTCTAGTTATCAGTCCCACCTCATCCGAAGAGCTTATGCTTTCTCTTTCCTGTTTTTCTGGGCTTACAACCTGAAACATCCTTAGCTAGTCCAGGCCAAAAATCACTACTGGAGCATTGGAATCCTTACCTTGACTTTTAGACCCTCTCAAGGCTCCTTCTTACTTCACTTGGTTGGATAACTCTGAAATGTAACTTATACTCTATAATCTCCCTAAAGGATATAGCAGGATCCACCTTTCCCTAGATTTTTATCTCAGGCTATATTTTATAGGATGAATAGTACCCCACCCCTCCAAAATCCTAGTCCTAGAGAATATGACATTATTTAGAAATAGGGCCATTACAGATAAAATAAGATTTTGGGCCCTTAACTCAGTATGATACGTGTCTCATAAGAAGAAGGGAATTTGGACACAGAAATAGACACACAGGCAGCTGGCAGCATGAAGTCTGAGGCAGAAATTAGAGTTACTGGAGATGCCAAAAGCCAGGGAATACTTGAACTACTCTAGAAGCAGGAAGAGGCAAGGAAGACACTAGGGACTTTAAAGGGATTATGGCCCAACGTACAACATGATTTTAGAGCTGTAACTACCAGAACTGTGAAACAATACATTTCTGTTACTTTAAACCATAGGTTTGTGGTACTTTGTTACAGTAAGCCCAGGACAAGATAGTACCTTTGTCTGAGCCTCCTTCCCTTGCCTGGCTTATTTCCTGCACTTCCTCTCTGATCTCCCTGGAGGCCCTTTCCTAATGACTTGCCAGCAAATCCTGACCTGAAGTGAGCCCTGCTTCTGTACTCCTTCTCCTCACCAATGTGGGAGCTCTGAGGAGCAAGAGGAGCTGGGTCTAAACTGCCAAGTGTGCCACAGAGCGAGGAGATTGTGAGGGGTGTGGAATAGTTTCACAAAGCCATAAGTCAACCATGAAAGAGGAAGGGCTGATTTCATTAAGCATGCTCAAAGAGAAGTTTCCAAATCATCATTCTACTAAACATAAACTAATTGCCACCCCTACCATCATTTAGCAAGAACTTTTTGAGTAATTACTCCAATTACACCACATTCTCAAGAGTGGCAGAAAATAGATCCTTCCTGGAAAAGGAGAAGTGTCTTGACTGCTAACACCACTATTTCTTGTGACGTGCATGGCCATCTTTCCCACATGACCACAAATGTAGCTGTCATTTCCAAAATAGTGGAATGAATTAAGTTCCTGAACGGAGGTACTACTACAGTAATAATTAGCATCAGAAAGAGCATTTTACATACAGAATCTCATTTAATCTTTCCAGTACTCTAAGTAGAGCCTCCCGTTACAACCAGCTGACATATGGACAACTTGGGTTACAACCAGAATTTTAGTTTTAATTTACAACCAAAGTCTTGAGTTATGAACCAAATGCTGGCTGCTTGTGCTTCCAGATGGTCTCAGATACAGATTTAACCTTTAAAGAGTTGTGGGAGGAACATTACAACATCATTTCCTGTGTGGGGTTGAGAAATCCTGGGCCAATGTCTCCCTAAGGACACTGAGATCTGCCTTGTACAGGAGCGAGACTACTTTGAAGGCTGTGTAGCAGAGCCTGAGCCTTCAATTGACCAACTAGAGTTATAACAAGCCTTCAGAAACGAATTAAGTTCATAAGTCAGGAGTCCACCATATTTTACAAGTAGTTTAGGATTACAGAGATTAGGTAACTTGCTGACAGTTAATTCTATCCTGTAAAATAGTGACAATTTCAAACAAATCAATGAACTACATGGAAGGTCCATACTTTCACTGTCCCGTTTTTTGGGTTTTTTTTTTTGTGTGTGTGGGAGGGGGGAGATGGTACTTCAGAATAAATCCAGACCTTTCACACTGAGCTACATCCCCAGTCCTTTTCTAAATTTTTAATTTTATTTATTTATTTATTTATTTTTTGTACCAGGGATCAAAGTCAGGACCTCATGCTTGCAAAGTAGGCTCGGTGCCATTGAGCTAAATCCCCAGAAAATTTTTTAAATTTTTGAGCCAGGATCTCACTAAATGGCCCAGGCCATGCCTGAATTAATAATCCTCTTGCCTCAGCATCTCCGAGTGCTGTGACTGGGATTACAGATATGCACTTCCATGTCATACCCTATTCTTAAACCTCACCATTCTGGGGCCTCCCCAGGAAACTATTTACTAGTAGTAACTTCATTAACAAAAGACATATGTTCTAGCAATATATGCATTTGTGAAAAAACTTATCACTAGATACTGGACAGACAGGAACTACGATGTTAGGAACTAAGGATCACAAGAAATACTGCTAAGCACTATTACAATAATAGCAAGTTAACTCAAAATACAAAATATGAATATCTAGGAGTTCTAAAGTGAGGTTAGCATAGTTTTATAGGAAGAGAAGAAATGGAGGAGAGCTGCAAAGCCTAGAGCTGATTGTATAAATGCCTGAACTAGTCTGTGGCTAAGCAAATAAGGAGGTGGCAAATTGGAGAATATATTCCTTGGCTATGGGAAACTCACTGCTGAATATCTGCTCTATGCCAACTGTTCCATGCTATTCAAGGTACTGGAAATTAGACTTTTAAAAAGAAGAGGAAAAAGGGCCAGGGATTTAGTTCAGTGGTGCTGCTGCCTGCCTTGCAAGCTCAAGGTCCCAAGTTTGAAAAAGAAAGAAAGAAAGAAAAAATTCCCTGCCCTCATAGGACAGGCATTCTATTGAAGGAGAAAAAGGTAATAAAATAATGAGAAAACATATTGAACAAGGGAAAGCACTAAATTTGATAGAGAAAAATAAACCAAAGAAACGAATATCAATTGCTTGCAATCCTTGAAAAAGAATCAAAGAAGGCGTTATATTCCAAAACAGGATATGAAATATGAGATCACCTGGGAGAAGTGAGATGTTCAAAACTACTTATCAAAAGTATAATGAACAGCTGGGCATGGTGGCACACACCTGTAATCCCAGCACTCAGGAGGATGAGGCAGGAAGAACACCAAGAGTTTGAGGTCAGCCTGAGTTACATAGTGAGTTCAAAGCCAACCTTAACTACATAATGAAAGTAGCAATACATTGGTAGTTAAACAGAAGGGGGAAATTGGGAGAATGCAGGAAATGAGCACTAAGCCACAGCTGGGGCCACAGTTGATCCCATGTACAGGGAAGATTCAAGAGAGGCTTTGGTTACTGAGGACAAATGTTTCAAATATGGACATTTTCATGTGGCTCAATCTAGTTTTCATCCACCTGGACTGGAGCAAATATAAGCCACATGTAAAGCCTTTAGGCTTATGATTATATACTCTAAGAATATATAAAGCCTCTAATATTTATTACAGGCTGTTCTGAAGGACCTTTATTTCAAGGGGCTTATTAGTTACCAGTAGATTCTGTTTTCTCCACCACAACCTAAAAAGTCTTTACTTTCTTTTCATTTTGACTTAAGAGAAACAACTGTCATTAAGAAGACAAAAACTGAGGCTGGGGATTTAGCTCAGTGGTTCCACTGGCTGCCTTTCAGGCACAAAGTCCTGAGTTCAATTCCTGGTACCCCCCCCAAATAAATAAAATTGAAGGAAGAAGACAAGAAATCTTCCTTGATGAATTGGACAGGACCAGGCATCCAAGTAAGAATATTAGGCTCCTCTTACGCTTCTCATGAATATCTGGAATCTTCAGGGTAGATGCTATAGAGTTCCCAAGAGAATTATATGAAGTCACAGACACCCTATAGGTCTCGTCTCCAAGATGCAGGTCAAGCGTCTGGTTAGTGGTCCTCATCTCTGTGACGTTAGTGGTGTTTTCTGGAAAGTACCGTATATTGTAGCCAAGTGTTTTCTCCAGGACTGGGGCTCCTTTTGCCTTCTGAACCCAAAGGAAACAAAATTTATTTGCAACACCAAAAATAAAAAAGACATTCAGATAGTTATAAGTGGGATGGAGAGTCAGGGTGGGCAATGTTAGCTATTAGATGCTAAAATACAATCATGTATGTATCCATCAAGGATGAATAATGTACTCCTGAAGTAATATTAACAGCTCAAATGCCAGAGGGGGAATATACTTGGTATAAACCCCTAATATAAGTTCAATTTCGTGAGGCTGACCTACAAGAGTGCCTAAGCCAGTGTAAACAAGCCACTACCATTTCTTCCGGCTGTATCTTTACTCTTGCATACATGGGCAGAAGGGTAAAAGCATTTCTTCTAAGTCAACCTTAATTCTGGTCTGATCTTTGATCATCTCTTTCCTGGAAGCCTCCAAAAACCAGAGAGTGCTCATGTCCTTGTCTTTTATGTCCACATCTCCCCCTCTAAGGAGAGAGCCCACTTCCCTGGGGCAGCCCCCACCAGGCATCCAGCTGGGAGGACTAAAACATCCAGGCGCCTTGACAGTCCCAAATCCTTGGAGAGAAGCCTAAAGTGGAATCCCAGGGGCTCTGAGCCAAATTCTTATTTTCAGCCTTGAGCTTGGACCTACTAACCAGATGTTTTGCATAGGAGTCAAGATGTTAAGTTTTCTCAGGAATTATAAGGTTTCTTGGTTTTTTAGTTTCCGTCATTGATTAAAAACATAGATGGTGCAAAATGACTCAATGTATGACTCAGGCAGAAGTTACTTTGGAAGCTACTTTGGCCCTTTGTCTTGTCAGTTTAAGAATTTCCTTTACATAGACCACAGCCTAAAAGACTAGCTAGAATCTTCCTAATGACTATGGTCCTTTATCTCACAAGACAACACATTATTTTCTTAAAATAAGTTTTACTGAGATATAATATGCATTCTACAAAATTCACTGTTGGAAAGTGTACAGTTCAGCAGTTTCAAAGGATATTCACATGCAAATGCAACTAATCTTAGAGTACATATTTTGGTACATACTTTATTAGGCAACTCAAATTCTTAGAAAATTCTCCTCTTGAGGTGAAAGGAGGAACAATTCCTGAAAAGGACAGAATGAGGCCTTGAAGCCCATCTCATATTCTTTACAGGCTGGTCTACTTGACCCTTACCCTCCTATGTAGCTAAGATAACATGTGGTTATGTGTCATTGTTTACTTTCAATGTTTAGAGTTATCTGTTTCTATACTTGATAAACAAGAAAGAAATCACAACATCTGGAACTGTTTTTCAAAGGTTTCCCAACACCATGTTATACTGTGGCCTCTGAAATCTGAGAGTATCCCACAGCCCTGGGAATGCTGGGGTAGAGTGACAAAGGCAGAGGTCCTCCAGCCCTGAAGTAATTGGGATCGGGGTATCATGTGGCAAACCAGGGTGATTGCTCCCTTTTTAACGGTGTTTTAACTTGCCTGAACATTAGTAAGTATGAGATAACATGATGCGTATTTCCCGAGAATTCTGGAAACATATGAAAGAATTTTGACATTTAACTTTTTTCTACTTTTTTTAAACCCCCAATTATCATTTCTCTCCCATTTCTCTTTTCTTTTTTTCTCTATTTGTCCTTTTCTTTTCCTGTTGAATTGTCTCCCTTCCTTTTCTGTTGCTTTCTTATGTTCCTCTCCTATCACCTCCTTTTTTCTCCTCTTCCCTGTTTCACCTACCTGTCTTCTCCCTGTTCCTCACTCCCAGGTTTCTACACTAGAACAGACCATTGGGTCCCTCTTCTGCCTGTGCACCTCGTATCATTGCTCAAAGAGACACATGTTGGCAGTGACTGAGATATGTTGCCAATGACAGTCAGTGCTCTCAGTCTCGCCTCGCATTCCAGTGGAGGCCAGCCAGGAATGAATGGCTTCTTCCAGCCACAATGCCTCTCACATTTACACTTTGTAACTGCCCAAAATGTTAATGTTTCAGACAAAAGAGGAGGGGTCACCGGGTGTCTGTACATTCCAGCCATCTATAAGATGACTTATGGGGCTTTCCCAAACTGGGCAATGATATGAGGTTAGAGGCATCATAAAGCCCTGTAGGGAATGAAATTCAGGAGGCTAAGTTTCAGGAATTACAATATTTAGAGAAGTAACAGACCCAGGATTTTTTCAAAAGCAAATAAACAAGTCAATAACTCAAAGGAAAGTCACCTTCCATAGCAACCGCACTGGCCTTCTCCCATCCTCTTTAACTGGTTTCAAAATGCGCCACAGATCCAGGACATGTGGAACTGAAGGGAGTAAGAGTGAGAAGTCAACTCAGACAAAGAGAGACAGGGAAGTCAGCGGGGCTACCTACCTGTTTAGAAAATGCACCTGGTAAGGATATGCTTGAGGGAGCCAGCAGGAGGAAGGGACAGTGGAGTAATGGCAGCCTGTTTAGGACCAATGAGGTATTTATTTTGTGGTTGAAGCATTGGAATCAACCAAAGTTAAAAAGAAAACTTCTCTTGGGTCTGATGAGTTAAAGTAAAGTTTTTTAAAAGTACAGTAGATCTCAGGTAGTACTCAAAGCTGGATAGAAATGTGAATAATATGTCCTCCAAGATATAATACATAGCACATATAAGGTGGGACTGACAGATTACTGATAAGGAGATGTATGTATATAAAATTTATACTATGTCTACTTTCAAAAAGGATAAAGCTGCATACTTACAATGTTATAAAATGTAATAAAAAATAGGAAAGGATCAGGAAAATAATCTTCATTAGGCCCTTCCTGAGCCCTAAATCTAATGCTGGACTTGCCAGCAGGAAAAGTGAAAAAAAAAAAAAGAATCATATTATTGCATATTTCTTATGGCCTGATAAAAGGGAAACACAAAAATTCATATGAATAGGTAATTATTTTCTGGTTAAAGAAAATGAATTTATAAACAGATTTTACCACATGATTCCTCTCAAAAAGGACACAGAGTAATTTAAACACTAATGTCTACAAGCCCCAGTGAGCAAAAAGCATAGGAATATTGCATATGTAAGTTTCTTATACATTACAAGTGTTTTCTATAAAACCCAAGGGCATAAATTAGGACTTAATTTTTTTCAGTAAGAAAGATAGTCTAAAACCACATAGTTCAGGGTTCTGATGATCTAACTATACAGAGATAAAATTTACAAAAACAAGAAAATTACATTTCATTTGTTTCCTGGATTATTTCTCTCAATATGTCTCAAGAAAGTTTTGGCATACATAGTTGTGCATGGTGAGACCCTATCTCTAATAATAATAATAATAAAAAGTTTGGCATGGAATGTATCCCTGACAATTTATAGGTCAATGCTCTGACATGCACCTGAAATGTCAGAATGCTGCTTAAATTATGAACCATACCCTTTAGCCAGTGGAGGGAAGCAGAATGCTACAAAGAACTGTCCAGGAGGCTAGCAGCCTGGAATTAGCAGAAGAAAAGGAAGATCCTTAGCGGAAGAGCTGAAAAATATTACTCTCTGAATCCCTTCCTGAGGAAGTCACATGGCTGGGGACACATAATTAGGTCTACAAAGAATGAGCCCATCACTAAGATCTGAACCACGTTAGTACTGAGAGCTTGTCTTTAGGGATCTTTTTTTAAGTTTAGGTGATTGGGTACCTTCAAATGAAGTTACTGAGCTCCAGTAAAGATAACCTTAAAATAAAGAAAAGTATACCAAAGGGCAATTAAGTCAATAACTTGTTTAACCACGTTTGCAGAAGTCAGTGTGACTAACATGTTCTAGCTGTTAAAATCAAGTCTCCCAATAAGATCCATTGTAATTTTGTTTAAACAATTTATGAGATGATTGATGTGGCTTAAACTTTACAAATGACTTCATCTAAATTCCACTAAGGTATTATCTTAAAGATTCTGCCAGGAATTTTCTGATTTCCCAACAGTCTTCAACAGAACAGCCAGTACTCACCGGTCTCAGAAAGAGAACAATAGACCAGTTTCAGCCTGTCTACATGTAAGCAGAGTCAGAGTTTCTCTCACAGACAGCCTTAGCACAAGGCAAATTGTCATTAGATATTCAAAGTAACCCCCAGAATTGGAGGGACTCTCTGACTTGCAGAAGTTCTGTTCAAGTCACGTAGAGAGTCAAACTCAGGGATAATAATATTGAAAGTAAGAAAAAAAAATTTTTTTAAGACAAAGAGATCATTAAAATCCAGTCCTAGATACTCATCTCAAGGATAAATATGAGAAAGTTTGAACTGATTATTATTTGGGGGGGCGGTCCAGGGATTGAACTCAGGACCTTGCTGCACTTGCAAGGCAGGTGGCAGAACCACTGAGCTAAATTCCCAGCCCTTAAACTGATTATTAATCAATCATTCTAGACACTTGATTAGAAATATGAGTAATGTTCTCCTTAGATTTGCCTCATAGTAGCCAATTCGTTTTAGTAGATGTCAGTAATGAGTTAGTTTAATCAGGCATTTTCTTATTTAATTTAAGGCCATAATATTGCCTACAATATGATCTGGTCTTTGCAATACAGACTTCGTAAAAGATGCAGTTTTTAATATGATAGTTGCCTATCTAGCATGTAAATCTTCTAAAATTATTACAGACAATTTTCCTTTGACCATGAATGAATGATGGGTTTTCAATTTAAAATAATAATCCCTATTTGAAAAAAAATTAAAATTTTCTGAGTCAACCAAAATATCTCTGTTTTCAAAGATGTCAATTGCCTAGGCTGATACAGTAGCAATCTCATGCTATACTGTTTCTATTACAGTATAAGTATTCCCACAACCACCATTAATCAGAAATATACTGGTTATCTTGCCAAAGACTAAAAGCAATAATAATAATAGATAACTCTTTCTAAGCATTTTACCTGAATTATCTCATTTAAACCCCATAGTCCTATAAATAGATATAGCTATTCCCACTTCTGAAGCATAGAGAAATTAAGCAATTGCCAAATATCATAAGCTTTTAAATAATAAAGCCAAGAATTTAAGCAGATTATAGAGATATTTAAATGCTTAAATATAGGTAAGTAGCCTTCATCATATATTGAAATCGAAAAGAAAGTAGGTAGTACTTCATATTTAACTTAGAATTTTTCAAATAATTAGAAAGATTTGAAGTGGTATATATAAAAACAACTAAATTTCTTTGTAAAATGAGGAAAAACGGAGTTTATAAATTGGAAAATTAGAAATTAGGTTTTGCCAGGGGGGTTAGGGTGTGAGTTTTTTGTTGTCGTTGCTGTTGCTGTTTTGTTTTTTGAGACAGGGTCTTGCTATGTAGTCTAGGCTGGCCTTGAACTCACTATATAGCCTAGGCTGGTCATGAACTCACAGTAATCTTTCTGCCACAACCTTCCAAGTACTGGGATCACACTTGACTTAGGGTGTGTGTTTTTATCAACTTCCTCTGGGATTCTAAAAAAAATGGATAAAAATGAAAGACTCCTGTTGGGGTAACTTTGATAAATAAGTGTTGATTCAATTGAATTAGCAAATGGCATACAGAACATCAGATACTAGTGTTGTTGCTAATTAATCTTCCCCAGTCTAACTGAATGAATCAATCCGATGAAATAGTAAATCTTGTTTGTGACAGAAAAACTAATTGAGAAAGTTGACATGAGAAGAGTACCTGGATGTGAAGAGCGAACCATGCTAAAAACTCTGAGCCATAAAATCTCCAGAAAAGAATGACAGTGACAGGAAGAAGAGCTAGACAAAATACCATCATACCTGAGGTAGTGCTTCATCACCAAACTCCCTGCTAAAGAGTAGCAGAGGAAGAGGACAACTTAATGATACTACACGGGTTTTTTCTAATATTTTTAAAGGACTCTCCTAAGACATAGACAATACTAACTGACCATCCCAAAAGATTATAACCATTGGGACATTTTTCCTGTGCAATTAATGTGTTGATATTTGTAAGCTATTAAATTTGCAATTGATTGGGCCCTTAGAAACAGTGTCTGTAGAATGTCAATGTGGTTTAACCATATATAACTTTAATCAAAAGTTTACATTAGATCTATATCTTAACTGTGTTTTACTATGCATTTTTATTTCTTCAAAATTTATATATCCCTGACATATGTCAGGCACAATTCTAGGCACTTCAGCACATAATGATTTTGGATTTCCTGTGACCTTCCCCACATGACTACACCATGGCACAGAAGCATCTCAGGATGAGGAGGGTCTTCACAGGCTGTCTAGCCCAATTCTTCATCTGCTGCCTGAATCTCTGTTCCAAAGCTATATGCTCTACTGGGAAGTTCAAACAAAGCACAAACATCTCTAGTGGGGAATACAAAATTCAGAAGGCATCAGATTGATTCTAGAATCTTATATAAGGGTGAACATGCCAAACATCAGTTAATACCAACTTGGTCTCACAGGAAAATCAAGCAGAAGCCAGAGGAATAAATTGTTGGACCAGCAGCATAGAAGTTGACCCCAGATGTTACCTAAGGCCAGTACGGGATTTTATTATGCGTAGATCCTGCCTCTTTCCTTCCCTTGCTGTCATTACAAATGTGGCCTTTTTTTTCCTTTCATTAGTTATATGTTTATATTTTTAGTAGTAGTTTCAGGGTTTACAACATATACTTTGAAAAAAAATCATATACTTTGAACTTATCAAATTCCTTTAAATGATATGCTACCATTTCATGTAGAGTGTAAGGACCTCAGAGAGTGTTAAAGGTAAGATCCTTTACTTTGGGGCAAACCCGCTAAGGTAACAAACACCAATCAAAGGAATGCAGCTCCCTCCCAGGGGTCAGTAGGCTTGTGGAGAGGAAGCATGCAGATTCTCCAGTCTCTGCAATTGCAGGATTCCATGATTCCCGAGCTTGGAACATGACAACAATCCATCAGGTCTAGGCGGAGGCAGCCCTATCCCACAGGAAGCAAACAAGGGAGCAGTTTACCTTCCTCCTCTGTCATTCCCATTTTCTCTTGGCTCCAGTCACTCCAAATTCTTGACTTGTTGGTTTTACAACGCAGAGAAATGATATATTCAGTAGAAGCCTGCAGCCCTGTGAGGTTGTAGACCTCAGTTTCACTGAAGTTGACTTCCATCTACAAGACAGAAAACATCTTGAGCTGAAATGGAGATAGTACATCTTATCTTTCCATTTTCCCTCTTTGCATCTCAAAGCTTGCTTCAAGAATTAATAACAGTGTACCTCAAATTTTAAAATACAGCATCTTCATAAATAAATATACACATGTGCTTAAATATGGGGAGAATTTGTACCTAAATAGGTGTGAATCACACCATAAACCAGCACCTCTCTGCTCAGTTTCTGTCTCAGCTATCAGAGCAGAGACTCCTATCTCTTGGCAGGTTGCATGACATTCTGGAAGATGCAAGTCAGAGACCCAAGGAAGAAGAAAGATGTATAAATCAATTTTCTTCTCTCAATTTCAGTTTCTCATTAGTAAAATCTCAGTTTTTCACTAGTTTTTTAAAATCTCCTAAAGTCTCTTCTGCATCCAGCTCTCTGGTGGAACTAAAAATTTAGCTATTAATTTCTGAGCACAGTTATCATTGCCACAATTAAAATATTTAGCTGTTGGTTTATGAAACTTACATTGAGTCAATTAATGAAAAATCAGTTGCCTAAAAGGATGCCCATTTTGTTAATAAGCACACAGCACAGTCCCACAGACCCCTGCAAAAGAAGGAAGTCCTGATACAGATGTACATAACAGCCGTGAAAGGAAAAGAAGTAATTACAGTCCTGGGCCTAAAAGAAATTGAGCAAAAGGAGAAGTGTGTCTGTGACAAAAAGTTGTGTATCCCAGATGCAGAGGGACATTTCTGAACTCCCAGCCTAGTGTTGTGGAGGCAGAGCAAGAAGATGGAATCCAATGACAGTTTTGCAGCTGAAGCCCAGGTTCCCTGAGCATCCTCTTCCGAACAGAAGATACTGTGGCAGAAAACTAGAGTTGTGGGAGCAAAACTTACAAGAAACTATCAATAACTATCATTACTGGGCCCAGCTGGAACAGCACTGAGACCCTTAGGAGAGGCCCTACCACACAATGCCATCCATATATAAATTATAATACAAATAATACTAAACTATACAACAAGGGGAAGGAAGTCTAACAATATTTTCCTTTATTTTTCATGCTTTAAGAATGCATATAATCTTGGGCCAGGGATTTAGCTCAGTGGTGCCAATGCCTGCCTTACAAGTGCAAAGTCCCAAGTTCAATCCCCAGCATAGTCTTTTTTTAATAAAGTCTTCCAATTTTTCCTCCTGCTTTGTTCTTATCTTCCATGCTTATGTGTCTTAGTAGTTCTCACCATGCACATGCTCGGAAACCCTGCTTAATGTAGCCACATATGCCTGTTGTTCCCAGCCCGTCTCAGAAGAACCAACACAAGCTATTCAGTCATTCAAACAATTTGCCTTTAAAGTTCCTTTAATCTTGACTTTCTGTTAGCCTATATACTGTTAGCCTCACAGGGCCCAGGATCAACTGATCCTTTGCATACAGCCTTAGCTTTAAAACTTCCTCACTAGGAGAAAAAAGGAAGGGGTCTGAAGGAAGAGAAGGAAAGGGGGAAGATGATAATGGAAAAGAGGGGAGGGAGAATGGTCAAAGTGTGTTATATGTATGCATGAATTAATATGCGAGAATGCAACCCACTGGTCTGTACAACTAATATGCACTTTTTAAAAATTCCCTTCTCGACAAAGGCACTGGAATATTGCCAAAACACTAATTAGCTCCATCAGGTTTGTTTCTAGCACTCTTTGCTCTATGCCAAATCCTAATTCATCACAAGTATTTGTCTTAAGAGATGAGTCAGAAGTTTTGGTGCAAAGCCTAAAGCAGTCTCGAAGCAGTCTGAGACTGTGACTTGTGGTAGGAAAGAAGATGAGCCTGTGCTATGCTGGTGACTGCTCTAGGGTTTCCTAAACCACAAATTAGTGTGTTTAAATTACCTCCTCAGGTTCTGGGAGAACAGTTTCAGAGCTAGCTTAGAAAGGAAGCTGGAAGGAGGAAAGGCCAACATTGTCTCTTTGAACACAGAACAAAATAAATTTAACCAAATTTTCCTTTCAGAAAGAGCACTAGGCCATGAGAAGACATAATATACATAATGTCTTCAGGTTTCCACAAGGGAAAGGATCTCATGATAGCTATCTACACAGATGAAAAAAATAGGCTAAATGAGTGTCATCATAATTAGGTATATTTATAGAAGCCTGGATTTATAGAATCACAGTCAAAGAGGAGAAGGTTGAGTTGGATGTGGTGATGCATGCCTGTAATTCCAGCTCTTGGGAGTCTGAGACAGAAGGATCACCAGGAATTCCAAGTCAGCCAGGTACACATAGTGAGTTCAAGTCCAGCCGGGAATACATACTGAGATCTTCTTTCAAAAAATCAGAAAAAGAAAGAAACGAAAAGGAGAGGCTGATGTCCTTGGTGTTCTACTGATTTAACACAGGGCTCTGATGAAGTTACCACTTTTATTAAAGACCAGATAAAGTTACAGTTACAAATCTGAACAAGGTAGAAAGAAAAATGCTAACTAAGCTTTGGGTAGCAGAACACAAAGATTCTAAGTAGGCTAAAAACAATGCATAAGATCAACATGAAGCCATTAACTATGAATAAAATACTTTAATTTAGGTTGAAAATCAAAAAATTACAAGATAGTAAAGTTGTATTTTACTAGCAAGTCTTACAAGTAAAAATATGTTTTAAAGATTGAATTGGTTTGCACTTATTAGAATGGTGATATAATTTCAGGCTGTAGAAGACAGAGAATATCTTCTGGACTCTAAAGAAAAGGTTTCTTAACACAGAAGAGCATTAAGCATAAAGGAAAAGCTTGATAAAATTTGGCAATATTAAAATTAAGGTCTGTTCATCAAAAGTTATCATTAAGAAAAGACAAGGCAGGGGCCAGGGATGCAGCTCAGTGGCACCATGCTTGCCTCACAAGCCCAAGGTCCTGAGTTTGATCCCCACTACTGGGGGGAAAAAAAAGAAAAAAGAAAGAAGTGATAAAGCAAGCTATATAGTGAAAGATGTTTAAAACACACAAAAATAAGACTCAAATAGAAATATATAAAGAACACCTATAAGTCAATTAAAATATCAAACAGATCATACAATTTTAAAAATGAAAAGGTCTGTAATCTCACTAAAAGGTAAATGCAAACAGAAAAAAAAAGCCAAATGCAAATTAAAGCCATGATTCCACTGTGTTTAGACAACAGAACACTACAAAACAATGAAAAATGTATAAACTATAGCATTGTTAGATGGGTGAAATGTTTTTTACTAATGTACATTAATTATGCAAAATATCCCACTGAGACATTTTTATACACACATATATTTGTATCATACCCATTCTCTCTACAGACCCACTGAGCTAACTCCCTGCCACCGCCCCTTTTTTTTTGGTACTGGGAATCGAACTCTGCACCAGTAAGCTAAATTCCTGGCCCCTCCATACTCCCTAACCCTCTTTCACTTTCCCCTCCCCTTCTTCTTATCTACTAATCTCCCTTCTACTTTAACACAAAAGAATCTGAAAAGTACAATATTAAGAGAATAAAGCAAGCATTAAAAATATAGAATGTATGGATTCCATTTATATATTCCTCATATAGTTCTGGCCACTCCTTCATCCTAGGTAATCAAAGAATGAGAGCATAGTTTCTTAAATTACATGGGTTTTTTTGTTTTGTTTTGTTTGTTTTTTTTTAGGCTTAACTGGTAAAAACATATTAGAAGCAAAGAAGTGATTACCATGAAACTCTAAGGAGAAGACACATAAAGAAAGGGTGGGCAGGGCCCAGTGGTCTGCTACTTGCCTCACAAGCACAAGGTCCTGAGTTCGCTCCCCCGTACAAATAAAACATAAAAAAGATTTTAAAGAAGAAAGAGTGAGCAAAGAGTTCAGGCACACTATGAATGTTGTATTTTTAACTCTGTTGGTTTATACATGAGTGCTTAATAATAATTTGTTAAATGAAACATATTATATTTACTTTTCTAAATGTGTGCCATACTTTACACTTTTATAAAAGATGGGGAAATTTTTTAAAAAATAAATGGCCAAACCATAAAATCTCTGGCAACTAACATAACTAGACACCCACTAGGACAGGATGCAAAAGCAAATTTTTCATTAGTTAATATGTCACTGTGCTCAGAATGTAAACTAGCTATGGTAGAATACTTTTCCAGTTTAAAGGGTATAAATGGAAAACTTTCAAAAAAAAGGACTCACTATAGTTTTTCTATTTTCAATGTAGAAATTGAAAAAGATGACTCAGGTCAAAAAAAGTTGTCAATGAATTTCTTCCTGGTATCCTCTAATAGAAATATTACAATGGCATAACTTACCCAGTGGGTACTATTGACTGTCTTGAATCGAAGTATATAATTTAAATCATCTGATAATGCATGGAGTTCCCAGTTTATTTGAAGCATTTTTTTGATGCCCAAAACTGGCTTCACACTTAAAATCTCAGGTGGTATAGTTTTCACTGAAAATAAAAATCACACAATTCTCATATTTGCAAAAATAATGACATTAACAACATCCACCTAAAATCAAAAGTACAATAAGCCTCAAAAGGAAATGATAGAGCATATTTTGCTGCCTTCTATGTGCAGATGGCATTAGCAATGTATTGAAAAAGGAATGCCATCTCCTTCCCTGTGATATCCAAACAAATGAACGCCCAATGAAAAGAGAATTACTCCTGTGAGTTTTTAGTAAATCAGGCTTTTACTGATGAGTATCTTATATGAGGTAGAAAGGAAGTAAAAAGTGACTAATATACAACAATAATAATATAATTATAAACAAGTATAGGTTATAGAATAAACCATAATATAATTTTTAAAGAAAGGGGAAGGACTAGGGATTTAACTCAGTGGTTCTGCCACCTGCCTCACAAGCACCAGGTCCCGAGTTTGATCCCTGGTACCTCGCCTCAAAAAAAAAAAAAAAAGAGAGAGAGGGAGAGGTCAGACAATAGAAAGTGGGCTGCTCCCTTTATCTACTCTTCCCTTCTCTGGGCCTCTTTCTTGACTCCCAAGATGGGAGAATGCTAACTAGAAAGCACCTCTCCTTTTCCTTGCATACCACAAAAATTCTATCCCCAAATCTCTCCTTGAAAATACATACTTTTATGGTTATGAAAATAGCATATGCTCAATTTTTGAAATATAAAAAACAGAAAGGGCTGGGGATTTAGCTCAATGTTTCTGCCACCTGCCTCACAGTCACAAGGACCCAAGTTCAATCCCTGATACCAAAAAAAAAAACACCCCAACAAAACAAAACAAAAAACACACCCAAAGAAACTTAAAATCATAATTCCACCCATCAGAGATAACTCATTAATATTTTGGTATATTTCCATTCATGGTTATTTCTGAATATTTGTATATCTTTTAAACCAAACTGATATGCTAAGTAAAGCCTTTGCCTTCTAAAACATTATCTCTCTACTAAACATTAGTAACTATTAAAAGTTCTTCAAATAATTTTTTAAAGCTTTATAATATTCCACTTTATGGATGAACAAGATTTATTTGACCACTTTTCTACTATTGTACATTCATAACATTTCAAATATTTCACTTACAAGACAGAAGGGAGACTACTCTCAATCAGACAGAAGCTAGTCTTAATTGGAGTCTAGAATTAAGGCACAAACAAGTATCAAATATGCATTAAATGAATGAATAAGTGGATGACAGTTTAATCCTTTCCTGCATCTCTGGTAGGTTATTTACAATAGCCTGGCTAGGTAAAACGACTTAAACATTTTTAGGGCTGCTGGCACACAGGGCCATTTTGCTTTCTGCAAAGGCTACACAAATTTCAGTTTCCACCAACAGTGTGAAAATACTCATCACATTCTTGCTAGCTAGAATTGAATAATATTGAATATACATTTTAATTGAATATACATTTTAATCTTTGTAATTCCTGAAAGATTTTGTTGGGTTTTTTGTTTGTTTGTTTGTTTGTTTGTTAATTTTTTGAGACAGGGTCTCACTATGCAGTTGAGACTGACCTGGAACTCACTATGTAGCCCAGGCTTGTCTCGAACTCAGAGAGATCCTCCTGCCTCAGACTCCTGAGTGCTAGGGATTACAGGTGTACACCACCATGCCTGGCATCCTGAAAGATTTTGGAGAGCAAAAAATTTCTACTTAGGTGACAGAATTTAAAACATTGGAAGGGGCTGGGGATTTGGCTCAATGGTTTTGCTGCCTGCCTCATAAGTGAAAGTTCAATCCCCAGTACCCCCCAAAAAAAATATATATATATATGGTAAAAATATTCAGAAAGCTTTTGGTGACTACTCAAAAAATAATATGTACTTATTATGCCTCAACTAAAAGGTGGTCATCAATCTATGTGGCCACTCCATGGGTAAACTATAAACAATTGACATATTAGGCAAATCCCCCTAACATTTATGACACCCATTTCACAGAAGAGATTTAGCGAAGTTAAATAAATCCCTACTAATAAGCCAGGCTAATACTCATCTGTTCTTAGCACAAGAATCCACTCAAGGTGAAAAGTTCCTGCCTTTACTTATTACACTAGACTGCCTCCTGTCAGAATAAATTCCTCTTAAATCTCCACTCAACGCTATCACTAATCACATACAACTTACTAATATTTTTCTCTGATGAAAATGGCTCTCAGAAGAACTCATCAAGATCTGATGTATAGTAAGTGACATTAGCAAACCTCATTTATATTCTAACCTGTCTGAAGGCAGACTAATGGAATTGTCTTGTCTGATTTGACTCTCACATGGGAAAAGTGACAGGGAAATCTCATGAAAGTTGCAGGGAGACCATAGATCTACATAAGCCTGGGGCAAGGGATTATGGATAAAGACATATTATAGACTATATAAATTCCTAAGGAAAAACTGAATGAGATTCTCTGGGAGATTAAAATATTAAAAAGAAGCTGTGAGGATGCATACTTAGAAAAGAACTGAGAAGGTCTTTTATCTAGGATGGATCCCAGGCTCGAACCAAGCCCCACTAATCTGTGAAGGATTGTCAGAACACAGAGTTAGTCTGGAAAGACTAGGAGTTGTGGATAATTTTTCAATGCTCAGCTTTCAACAACAACAAACATTACAATGAGCTCAAAGAAACAGAAAAATATAGCCCATTCAAAGAAACAAAATAAACAAACATTGTTATGGAAGTCCAGGCATCAACTTACTAAATATTTGAAAGAGCTGTCCTAAATATGCTCAAAGAGCTAAAGGGAATCATGGACAAAGAACTAAAAGAAATGAGAAAAATTATATATGAATAAAATGAGGATATCAACAAAGATAGGAATTATAAAATGGAAACAGAAATTCTGAAGTTGAAAACTAGAATATCTGAAATTATGAAGTTCACAAGAAAGGTGTAATGATAAATTTGATTAGAAAGAAGGAGGACCAAAAAACTTGGGGATAGGACAGTAGAAATTATTGGACCTGAGTAGAAAAAACAGGAATGAAGAAAAGTGAACACAGCCTAAAGGACTTGTCAGATATGATCAAGCAGAACAATTCATTATACATTATTGGAATCTTTGAAAGAGAAGAGAGAAAGAAAGGAGCAGAGTTATTAGAGAAATAATGGTCCAAAACTTCCCAAATTTAATGAAATATATCAATCTACAATCCAAGAATCTGCATAAACTCCAAGTATTATAAATCCAAAAAGATCTGTATTAAAACACATTGCAACTAAATCATAGAAAGACAAAGTATCATCAAAGCAGCAAGAAGTAACTTATAAAAGTATTCTTCAATAAGACTATCAATCAATTTTTCATCAGAAATCTTATGGTCCAGAAGACAGTGACATGATATATTTAAAGTTCTGGGAAAAAAATTAATTTAAAATTCTATATCTGCTAAAATTTTTCTTAAAAAATGAAACAGAAATTAAGACATTCACAGATAAATAAAAGTTGAAGGAATTTACCAACAGTAGACCTGCTGTATAAGAAAGGCTAAATCCACCGCCCACCCTGCAAATGCAAGGAACAGAGTTGGATCATCGTACCAAAAAAAAAAAAAAAAGAAGAAGAAGAAATGCTAGAAGGAGACTTTCAGGTTGAAATAAAAAGACACCAGACTATAACTTGATCTGGTTGAAGGTATCTCTGGTATAGGTGAATATATTGACAAATATAAAATCCACTATTATTATAATTTTGTTGATAACCTCTGTTTTATTTTGCAAAGGATTTAAAATATTGATGATTAAAAGTAATTATAAATCTATGCTAATAGATATATAATATATAAAGATACGATTTATGTTACCAATAGCATAAAGTTGGGGGGGGCAGTTGGATAAGAGTAAAGTTATGCATACAACTGAAGTTAACTTAGCATTAATTCAAATTAATCAGAACTTTAGATGTTATATGTAATCCTCATGGTAATTATAAAATGTAGAATATGCAGAAGAGGAAGTGAGAAGGAAATCAAAACATGCCACCACAAAAAGAAAAAAATCACCTAAATACAAATGAAGTCAGTAATGGAGGAAATGGATTGAATGACCGTAAAACATACAGAAAACAAATAAAATTTTAAAAGCAAGTCCTCTTATTATTAATTACTTTAAATGTAAAGGGTACAGATTTTTGCCAATCAAAAAGTCATAGATTAACAGATGTATTATTTTCAATGATCCAACTTTAGTTCTAAAGACACAAGTAAATTTAAAGGAAAAGGATAGAAAAAGATACTACATGCAAATAGTAACAAAAAGAGCAGAGGTGGGTTATTATCAGACAAAAGTGACTAAGTAAAAAACTGATTCATAACAAATACCAAAATTTTATTTAGTCTGATACTGTTAATTGTGCTAAGTTGTGAGACAAAATTAACCATGAAAAAAAGTTTAAGCAAACTACCAGTATAAACCTAAAGGACTGGGAGAGAGAATATTTCAATTAAGAGGGCTGGGGATTTAGCTCAGTGGTGCTGCCGACTGCCTCAATTAAAAACCAAACTATATTCAATATTTATAAAACATTGTCATAATCCCATACAGCTGAATTCAAATAAGGAAATATTTTATTATAAAAATGTTATTTACTAAATGTTTTTCTCTCCTAAAAGAAGTCCAAAAAAGATGTTACTTCTTAACAACCCTAAAAATAGGTTTGCAATCCTAAAAATAGTCTATAAAAAGTTTCTTCAGTTTCCCCCACAAGGAGCCACAATCAGTCCAGCACCAGGAGGGCTGCCTGGACCCTGATCCACCGCGGAAAGGATAGCCACGCCTTCCCCCACCGGGAGCCGCCATCGCTCCAGCACTAGGAAGGTAGCCGCAGGTGCCCTTGAACCGCCACAACTCCCCTACACCTCTCCACTCCCCAAACCCACCCCAACCCCCCATGCACTCTCAGACCTCCTGATTGAGCCAGTCTTTGGATCCACTCTGCAGAGGCAGTGGTGGTCATAGAGGGTATTTTTCTGAGTTCCCAACATTGAATATCTTTAAAGAAAGGGCGTGGGAAACCTGTAGTAGAAGGGTGTGGAGTTCAACTGTTCAGAAGGTTGGGGAACTCAATCTGGGCTTTGCAGCCCAAGGTCAGTCTGTGTCATGGGGTTCAGCCATCAGCTAACAGAGATCAGGGGTCTCAAGTCCTAGCTCTGTCTGAGCCCCCATCCTAAATGGTAAATATACTATACTGAAAAATTTGTTCACTGCAGATGTGTTTTGGACTGCTTCTTGATTTCAATTTAATTCAAATGGTTTAAGGGTAACAGACTAGTGACTACCACAGGTGGTCAGTTTCCAAGTTGTGCTTGATCATATTGTGTTGCTGGTTGGGATAAAGGATTGTGGTTGATTTGATGAGTTGTTTTCTCTGATGTTATGAAGATGAGAATGTCTGTGGGTCATTAGAGACCCAGAAGGTAGGGCTCAACTATATCAGGAAGGTTTGGGTGATAACCCAGAGATTAAACCAAGGACAGCCTGACAACAAAAATAAAAATGAGAAAACACTTAAGCAAGACACAAAGACAGACTTCCAGTTCACCAATGGCAAACAGTAGGACAAATGAGGTTGAAAAGGCCAATAGTGAACCACCAGGACACCCTGAACTCAAAGCACAGGAAGTAACAAAACAGACTAATGGAATCCATAAAACAGATTCAAACAGATATCCAGGAGATTAAACACTACATTGAAAGTGTATGCACAGAATAAAAGAATGCGAAGATAGGCTCTCAGATATAGAATATGAGATTGCAGTCAGTGACCATGAAAAGAGAGGTCTCTTAAAAACAGTAGGGGATCATGAGAAATCTATGCAGCAACTCCTAGATGATGCAAAGAAGAATAACATAACACTGATAGGAATCCATGAAGTAACAGGAGAAAATACAAATGGCGTTAAAAAGCTGTTCACAGAATTAATGACAGAAAACTTTCCAAACAGAGGGGAAGTGCAGTCAGTGACCATGAAAAGAGAGGTCTCTTAAAAACAGTAGGGGATCATGAGAAATCTATGCAGCAACTCCTAGATGATGCAAAGAAGAATAACATAACACTGATAGGAATCCATGAAGTAACAGGAGAAAATACAAATGGCGTTAAAAAGCTGTTCACAGAATTAATGACAGAAAACTTTCCAAACAGAGGGGAAGCATTGGACATTCAGATAAGTGAGGCATATAGGACCCCAACTAGCCACAATAAAAAAAAATCTACACCTAGACATATAATAATCAAGATCGCAGAAACCCAACAGAAGAACAAAATACTATAAGCAGTAAGAGAAAAGAAACAAATCACTTTTAGTACTTGAAATATCTCATTCCAGGCTCTCCTTGCCCCAAGGGTTTGTGTTGAAAAGTCTGCTGTGATTCTGATGGGCTTTCCTTTGTATGTGATTTGTTTCTTTTCTCTTACTGCTTGTAAGAAAAAAATATTTTAAAGAGAAACCTAGGACAAAAAGAAAAAAAATCAAAAAGAAAAACATTCCACAAAAAGAAGCTCAGGCTTAGATGGCTGCACTGCACTTGTGAACTCTATCACAAGTTTAAAACATAACACCAATTCTTTACCAATTGTTTCAAATATTAGAAGATGAGGAAACACTTCACAACAATCTATGAGACCAGCATAACTCACATACCAAGAAGCTAGCACAAGAAAACAATAGAAAAGTATCTATTATGAATAAAGACCAAATATCTTTGATACAAAAATTCCAAATTCAGCACCATATCAAAAGAACTATATACCACAACCAAATGGGATTTATCCCAAGAATATGAATATTTTTTTAACTTATGAAAATCATTCAATGCAACATACTATTTTAATATAATAAAGGAAAAATCTACATGATCATCCTAATAGATACAGAAAAGGCATTTGACACTTCTTTGTAGCTAAAATTCATAAACCATCAGTAGAATAATATTTTATCAGTTTATAAAAGGTATCAACAAAAACCCATACCAACATCATACTTAATGATGAAAGACTGGATCCTTTTACCCTAAGATTGCAAACAAGAAAAAGAATGTCTGCTCTCACCACTTCTACTTAATGTTGTACTGAAGGATCTAGACAATTGGGCAAGAAAGAGAAATAAAAGGCATGCATACTGGAAATGAGAAATAAAACTATATTTGTAGATGACACAATTTGGCATATAGAAAATTCTAAGGAATACACCAAAAACTATAGAAGAAATAAACAAGGTTATCAATTACAGTGTCAATATATGAAAACCAGTTTTATTTGTATACACTAATAATGAACAATTTGAAAATAAAATTTAAAAAGCAATTCTATTTTTTAAAACTTACATAAAAATTTAATATTTTATAAATATAACCTTACAAAGGAAAACAGTTAACTTTTTTTTTTTTTTTTTTTT